GACGGCTAAGCTCGACACCGAAATGCATAAGGTTGTTACGGACGCGGAGGCCGCAGCTAAGACAAAGCAGCCAGCTAAGGCTAAGGAAGCAACTGATGCAGCGGTGCGTTGTATGCTCTCTCTTGAATCTGGCCTCGTCTGACATTTCTCTCCTGTTCTAGGCAAAATTCAAACCCGCCGTCCACAGCATGGCAACAGTCTGGACTCAGTATAGAGCATATATTGATCGGTTGGCCGCATCAACTTGAACAGGCTTGATCTGTGTGTTCTTTTGTGTTGTAGAGTACTGTGAATTTAATAAGGGTTTTCAATTGCTATGTTCGATTTCCTGTCTATGTTCCCGGCGGCCCTCGATTGTGCAAGAACAAACAAACTTCATTTACCACTAAGTACCTTGTGAGCTGCAGGCCGTTGCCCAGTCGAACTTGAAAGATAGTATTTTATTGTAGATGGTATTTAGATACTCCATTCTGGGGATCAGACCACTTCTAAGCCCTTATCCTACTCTCTAGCCACCGCCTACCTTATTCATGAAAAACCGGAAGAGCGATGATAAATTAAATAACACTGGAGTCAGGATCTCAAAGGACATACTTCATATGTTACTACGTTCTTCAAGTTCAAGGGACATGAGAACGAAGCTTGAGCCTGGTAGTAGTCTAATTGCAATGTGTTTGAGAATATGGATCGGATATGATACTTAGGCTGAGGCTGGCTGGAGCGCTAGCGAGTACTGACCCATCTTCCCGGCGGGCCGATATTCTCAGTTTACGTTCACTGCTCAGCTTTAAGCTGATTGTTCCTTCTGAAACTTTGACCATCTCTGGGTATTTTTTGCTGGGGTTCGAATAAGACCAGACCAGACAGCCATGTCTTCATCTCCACCGCTCTTTCCGCGACGATTATCTTCAGCCAGCTCTACAAACAAAGAACAGGAGGAATTAATCAATGCATTCGAGGCAGAGGAAGAAAGGATGACCAATGTCTTGTCAAGAAAACTAGAGCAGGTGTGTAATAAAAACTGGGCTTCAAATCCAAACTGAATCCTTCGACTTTAGCTCAGAGTGGAAAAGATCGAGCTCGAAAATGTGCTCGAGGCCGAGTCAGAAGCGCATGTCAATCGACTGAACCGGGAACTTTCCATACTTCGTTCGAATCAGCAGCAACAACACCAGACAAACGGAGATGGCACTGGAATTGCTCAGTTCTTTTACTGCTGCCAACGGTGATCCCAGTGTTGAAGTCATGCTCGAAGCTTTACGCCGCGAGAACGAACAGCTGCGAAATAGGCTCACAGATATCGAGCGCGATTACATTCGAATGGTCAGACTGAATGAGATTTATCGTGAAGAATTAATTGATCATCGGAATCGTGTAAGTGGCGTCCTTTTGCGTTCCTCAAACTAGATACATTACGCGAATCTAACGATTGATCTTTCTCCAATATATCCCTTTCAAACATGGATCCTGCCTCTTTTTTTGTGGCGCACAGATAGGACAGTCAGTGGACAACCTCATTGGCATGTCAACTACAGATCCTTACTCTCAACCTACACACCATCGATCCTCCTCGAGCATGTCAAATTCTTCCGTCTCTTCCATGTATTCTTCCACACATACTGCTTCTAGGCCACCCAATGGAGTGCCAATCCCCCGACCTCTTTCCCAAATTCGACGTCCAAACAATAACATTTCAGAGGGAAACACTCCCTTGTCACATTCTCCAACGTCAGGCTCATCAGCTTCCGAGTCCCCGTATGCTCTATCTTCGCCTGGAATGATGTCGGGAGGTCCAACGAGTCTAGTGAGCAACTTGACGACGCCACCTTCTTCTGCCTCGCTGCACAATCTCATGCAATATAACGGCGCATATGGAACAGTGGGTTCGCGCGCACTTTCTTATCCATCTGTCCCCCCACCTTCCCTATCCTCGTCCTTTGGATCTCCAACTGTCTCGTACCATATGGGTCATCGGGATCCGTCACTTTCGCCTATCGAGCCTCTTAGTCGGAGAAACTCTAATGCTGGGATCAATGGTCCTAGGAGAGGAGATTGGCGGGTAGCAGAGACTGGGAACTTGAGGAATATCAGTGCTAGTCGAAGAGAGAGTCTTGAACGCGGTGCTCGTGTGGCGGAGACGGGAAGTTTGGCCAGAAGTCGTGCAGGAAGTCATAGCCAGGGATTACCGTCTACTACCGAAGACGTTGATGACGGGCATTTTGTTGATGAGGGGACCGTCTTTACTTGAGTTTCTCTGTACTTTCTCGTTGCTCTGTCCTTTCGACTCAATGACCCATTGCAGGTATTCATCTTTTGCTACTCCATCGATTAAACTAAATTGTAATATGGCTTTCAAAAGTACAGACAATTGTATATAAACTTCTTGCAGATATCATAACTTCATCTAGTATAACGATCGTGATGTGGCCGGATTTAGAGCATCACCTTCCTAATATGGGACTGCTGCCAAAGAGTGATTGAACTTTCGGCGTCTATTCCTAATCCGCTTTGTTTTTAACCATCATCTCGCAGGTCGAGTCTCCCTGCTCTGGAAGCCTTTTTACATTGCTATGACTAGAACTCATTTTCCCGTGAATCAACACGCTATTCATCACATTCACGCTCGCTTCATGTCCAATCTCGTTGTCGGTCCTGGTGGCCAGGCGACTCTTGTAGCTCCCACTCAGCCCGAATCTACTATCGCCGTTGTCAGCTCTGCGAGCTCATTCAGTTCAGTCATTTACACCCAGCAAGCTCCTTCTTCTTTGCCTACAGCAATCACCAGTTCTCCCAACTCGCCTATCGAAGCCGCAACTTCCTCTCCAGCGCCTACTATCTTCGTACCCACTGAAATCTCAACAACAGTTGTCGTCACCAGTGAAGTCTTTGAATCCTCATCTACCATTCCATCTAGCCCAACAACTCTGAGTAGCTCGAGCGATTCGAGTTTAGCGTCTTCTACCACCACTTTGGTTTCTTCCAGTACCGCTCCTTCAACCACCACTCTTACCTCTGATTCGCAAACGGCTCCAGTCTCGACTCCTGCATCATTGTCTTCTTCTTCCTCTTCAACGCCCATTCCTACCAGGACCACTCTACCAGCTTCCAGCACAGATGTGGCTACATCCGAACCAGCAACCAAGGAGCCTACATTCTACATTGGTGTTGTCCTCGCTACTATCATCGTCATCGCTTGTCTTGCTGCTCTAGTAGCATGGTGGTTCCGTATCCGTAATCACAGCCGAAGACACAAGAAAACTGTCGCTGTGCCCTGGGCGAGCCGACGCGAGTCGTCATTGTCGCCATTTACTGATCCTGACTCGCTGGAGAAGGGCGAGTCGCTCAGTCCTCATGATGATCCTCACCAGCGTACTTGGGAGCCTAGAGGTGATCGTGATTCCGGTGAACCGAAGCGTACGAAGAGCTATCTCGAAAATCTTTCATCACCGACAAAGAGACGACCTGGTCCCATTCTAGGTCTTCATTCTCCGCCTCCAGTAGTTTATCCATTCCACGCCCACCATCCTCCTTCGCATCCAGCCTCTTATCCTTCATCTCTCGCATCAATCCCAAGTGTGCCGCTCGGCCCATTACCAGAAAGCATTGCGTACCCGCTTCCCAGCTCGTCTCGACCACTTCCTCCTCAGCCTGGATATCTTCAGTTCAACCCGAACCTGCATCCCAATCCGCCTTCAGTGCGCATGCAATTCCTTACGGATCCGGAGTTTGGGACGCCTCGATTGTCGATGATGAAACCGAGGTATTTGAGCTTGCATGAACAAGGGTTGGGTGTTCCGTGGAATTTTGAAGCTCCAGCTTCAGCCTTGGAGTCTTGCGAGGAGATACCGTCGATACCTCTTTCCGTCTCTTCCGAGAATATACCCGGCTCTCCGATGTCTTTGTCTCAGAAGCTTGCTCCAATGCAAGAGGTGGCGTTCGAAAAACCTCGGGTTCAGAGTACTCCGTCCTCCGCTTCGGCTCCTCAAGCTCAGAACGGAACATGGTCGTCGAGTATCAAGGCCAACTTGGTATATGCCTACAATGCTGTCGCCAAGGTTGCAGGCGGAGCTTCTGCCAATGATGAGTACGAGGACAAGTTGACTCCGCTGCCTTCCCGTAACTCGAGCCGTAATCGCAAGAAGGAATCTCAAGGTGGTGCTAGGACTTCTGTACAAGAGACGGGTTGGGTGGAGTATTTTGGTGGCGAACTGGTGGGGAAGGCTCCGTCGGAGGTTGAGTTGGAGGAAACGAGTGAAGGGAAAGGAATTGTTCATATTCACCCGTCGATTTCAGAGGATGGGTGTCTTCCTTTTCCTGGTTGTGGAGGGTCTAGTTCGACGGGACTTGGGATGGGATTACAGGGTTACGGCGGAAACGATCATGCCTTTTCCTCTCGTTCTTCTGTGTATTCGAATATCAGTCCATCGAGGAAGAGCTCAGTGATGTCGACGGAGGCGTTGGTCGTGAAAAAGAAGAATCCGTCGGTCAAATCGAGAGGGTCGATCAGATCAAATACGAGCGGGAATGTGGACGCGGAGAGGAACTCGGGGAGTCAGAGAAGGCCAAAGTACGCTTATGGTGGGGGTACGACGTCGAGAAAAGTAGTGTAGCGTCTAGAGCTCCGAGGTTGCCTGCTCTTCCCTCGTTCTCGCGCTCAGGAACGGTGAAGAGTACTAGGTCAGGGAGGTCATCTTTTTCGAGAATGTCGTCGGTAAGATCGACGCGGTCGGTGCTGAGTGATAGGGAAGAGATGGCGAGGAAAGCGTTGCTCGAGAGGAGGAGGAAGGGTACGTCGAGTACATGATGTGCATACTTGTTTTGTGGTCTCTTGTACGAGTAGTGTGGGAACTAAGGCTTTTTGTAGTTTCTTCTGGGTTACAAGTACTTCGCGTATGGAATAAAATGGAATGCTTATACTGTACTTCTCTTGCAGTATAGAAGTCAATTTGTCCAGACAGCAAGGAAAAAAGTATTCGAATCCTCCATTGTGCTTCGTGCACCTGCCCCAGAGAGGCTCGAACTCTCGACCTTCCGATTGATAAACATCTGCATAACAGTCGGACGCTGTAACCGACTCAGCCATGGGGCAGATAGCAACGACTAGTTCTAATATCAACTTATTCTGATAAGTAAGCAAGTAGAAATAGGCTGCTAATGAAGGTCATAATACTTTATGTATAGCCCCAGTCTAGTCCAGTAGATAAATACATACATAGTAGATTATGCAGTCGGATACATCCTATTTTCAATGCCGAAGGTGCTGTAGTGGTACGGTGCATATTCTTTTGGTTCGGCGCTCTTACTAGAAAAACCATGGACCCACTGTAACAGAAGAGAGTGAACAAATCAGTTACTCCCTCGTCAAAGAACCCAAACGATGATAATTAAAGAATATTAATGATAACGCGAAACTCACTCCTCCCCGTCGCAGGCAGCTGCAGACAACTCTGATGTATTAAATTGAGCGCCTTGACAGAGTCTCGTTCCTCGATAACACAGGAAATGTTGATTTCGCTCGCTCCTTGGCTGATCATCTCGATATTGACGTTACCGTTTCCAAGCGTGGTGAACATTCGTCCGGCGATTCCAACGAGGTGACGCATTTCTCGACCGACGAGGGAGAGAATGGCCATGTTTTTGTGGACAGAGACCTGGAAGTATGTGTGAGTATGAGAGGAGAAGGAAAAAGAAGGAAAACAACTCACCGTACCACTCTTCTTCAGCTCCGAAATCAACCTATCCAATAACTTTTGCGCCAGCGCGTCTTCAATCGCCATACTCACATGTACCTCACTCGTACTAATCAAGTCCACCACAACCCCAAATCGATCCAGCGTCCCAAAGATCCCCGCAAGGAACCCATGCGATACGCTCTTCCTGTTCGAATTCACGTTGATCACGATGATACGGTCCTTGATCGTCACGGCCGTAGGAAACTTCTTGTAAGGATAGTGTGCGCCTTGGTTATCTTGGTGTTGTATCGCCTGCCGAGCCATGGCATGTAGCTGCGATTGCGATATGGGCTCTGGGACGCCATTGTGGTTATCATTAAGCTCTTTGGAGACTTGGGACACCTCCGAGGTATCTTCTGGATCTGGGAAGATGACGGTACCTCCCCCAGTCGGATTTTCGACGTTTTTTATGCGGATTGGGATTTTGGAACGGATAGCCTGACACGTGCGTGTTAGTGATGAAGAATACGGAACAGTACCGGTGAAGTATACCTGCTCCATAGTAAACGGATGCACCACCTCGCTCCCATAATATGTCAGCTCAGCAGCCTCATCTGGGGAGATGATTGGTAAGAGTCTAGCAGTAGGGACTTTACGCGGGTCGGCGGTAAAGATACCGTCAACCTCTTTCCAAATCTGCAGTTCTGTGGCTTCAAGGCCTACAGACAAGAGTGCTGAGAGAAGATCAGTGTATCCGCGTCCGACTTGGTTCAAAAGGGAGCCAGGTATAGGCCCAAAGAAACCTAGTATACGACCATTCAATCGACGTTCAGACTAGGAAACGATACATACCAGTAACAACAGGCACTCTACGTCCACATTGCTTCACACGTTCTCCGACAGCTTGAGCGACTCTGTCATAGAAGTTCTGATCTAGAATGTCATTCCCGGATCCATCGTCGTCGACATCGGGTACTACATCTTCCAACGACACGTATTCTGCATCAATCCCCTTGGATGAAAGTCAGTTTGGCAAGCACGGAAGATAGGAAACGCGAATGCCCCACCTGGTCCCGCAATACGGCCGTCATAAACTTACACGCCAGTTTTTCCCCTAACCCAATGATACTATCCTTTGAACGGGCTGAGACTTCATTAATAACTTGGGAGGCAAAGAGGAAGCTGCGTAGCCAATCACAGTCCTTATCCACCTCCTCCTCAAGCTCCTTTCTGATATCAGGATCTGAGATAAAATCCTTTGCGGCCAAGAAATGCTCCTGTCGAATCAAATCGACCGTACTATTGAACTCCGGTAGACTTTGTCCGCGTTGAGGGATAATGAGAGGGGTCAGTGGAGTACCATTACGATCCTCTGCAGATGAGGATCTACTTCGTGTCGGAGTTTCTGGCGGAGATTGAGGCATATCTTTTATTTGACCGAATAGGCCAAGAGAATAAGGGCTCGCGTTGCCGTCCGGTGAATTGAAAGACGATGATGAGACGAGTTTGGGACGCCGCACGAGAGCTTCAGAAGCAGCACGTAATAGCAGATTTGTTGTGCCAAGGGCTTTGGTAGTACCAGATCGTGCTGAGCATACCAATGCAACCTTGTTCGAGTCAATGTATTTACTGAACGCAAAAGTTAGCCCGAGAATAGGATGAAAGCTGATATAACACACGCGACAATTTCTTTCGCAATTTTTGCCGGGAACTTTCCAACACTGGTCCCTCCGAATTTTTGAACGAGCCATTTCGAGTCAGGATCGATACTGTTTTGATGTAGATTAGGAGGAGTCTTGGGTGGTGAAGAAGATCGCCTAGAGGATGATGATGAGGAAGATGGCGAATCAGACATTATAAAGAGTTAAACAGGTGTTGGGGGTACAATTACAAGATGGAATGCGTTTTTAAGTACATGCCAAAATCTGATTCCAGATTCGGAGTCACATCGGAAATTCTGCCGGCCGTGATCTGGAGTAGCCTGCGGACCGAAAAGTCCGACTTTGATATTTACAGCTTGGACCGGTACCCGAACAGAGTATGAAGTTAAAGAAAGTATCGAAGTCCGTCGCTCCAAACGGCGGAGACCGCTTCGAAGACTTGGAGGATACAGCCGCACATTCCCCGTTTTAGAGATCGGCGGTTTTTTGAACTTGTGCACTGGCAGGCCCATGACCCTATGAAAAACGATAGAGCTCAGGGTAAAATTAATGCAGATCCGCTCATTTCAGGCTTCGAGTAGAGCCGAAAATAATCAGTCCACACTCATTGATTAAGTCGCTACTGTGAGCCTTTACCGATATTTAACATAATATGCAAAGTTATCATAACTTTGCATAAAATCGTCAAAATAGCATAAGACAAAGACAAATCAAGG